CTGTGCCATTCTTTCACGACTTAAAAGTGGAATCCACTATCTTTGGAGTGCTTTGGAGTCAGATTAATCCTGACTCTCTGTTAATCTTGTTTAAAGCACTGCAGCGAAGTGAAGAAAAGGTATTTCCCAGACAATCCTTCAGCACCACCCCCATGTTAAACATACAGCTGTTGCTTGGATCACTTCCAGACAAGGCTTTTGTCATGGAGACACCCTGTCTCCTTCACATAATTTTAGGAAGGTTCACATAACATCACCTTCCATTTGTAACCCTCCCCCATCTCTTCCCACAATTCCTTCCATGTTGTTTCTTAGCACCAAAAAAATCAGGAAATAAAGATGAAATGGCTGCATACCATCTTTTAGTACTAGTGGGAGTCCTCAAGAAACATTAAAATTTTGAGGAAAAAATCTGTTCCTGGTTTGAAAGTGTTATTTTCTGTTTAATTGTGTGTTACTGACTTCGAAAATAGTTGTTACACTCTAGAAACTTTGTTTTTGTGGCTGCCACAAACTATGTTGAATTGGTTGAGATTCAATTGAAAAACTAGAGTAAAATGTGCTGCAGGGTGTCCACAAAAACAAAGTGTTTGCAGATTGGTAAACGTTTACCATGTTTTTATGCTAGGAACAATTAGGAAATGACATTTATAACTCAAGAACAAAAATCATATTATGTAGTGTAATTGTTCAGTAGAATCCATGTATCACATGTGCCTCTTATGGGGAAATGCACTTCCCAGTGGATAAAGATAATTTGGTTATGGTGGTGATTATTTGGTTATTTTGATCTTTGTCCAGCACCTTATGGCTCTGAACAGGCCCGTAGCCAGGATTTTGATTCCGGGGGGGCGGGGGGGGGCGGATGAGTCTGAGTGAAAGAGGGTCTACCCTAGCAAACCTTTTGTATTGTTACCCCAATACCCCCATGCATATGAGATATATTGAGCATGGTGATCAGATCATGATATGAATAAACATAACAGTTTAAATAATGCACCAGTGAGGCCTTCTCGCGGAGCACCATCAGAATTTGCTACATGCCTGGTTCTGAATGTTTGCCAAGTGTTGTAAACCACCCTGAGTCCCTACAAGGAGTTAGGACGGGATATAAATAAAGCATTATTATTATTATTATTATTATTATTATTATTATTATTATTATTATGCATCTGAGAAAATGCAATGTTTTTCCAACTCTCTGCACTTACCATGCCTGTTTATTTATTTATTTGTTTGTTTACAGTATTTATATTCCTCCCTTCTCACCCCACAGGGGACTCAGGGTGGATAATAATGTACATATACATGGCAAACATTCAATGCCATAGACACACAACATATATAGACAGACACAGAGGCAATTTAATTTTTCATGAGGGTATTCTGGCCACCAGGGGAGCTGTCGCTTCACCGTCCATTTGTGACATTAATGAAGTACTTCCTCATTCTTTCCAGGCTTGCTGAAGATTTTTATGGCATCGTAAATTAGTTAAATTAGCCTGCCCACGTAGGCGGTACCTAAATTTCCTACTTGACAGATGCAACTGTCTTTCGGGCTGCAAAGGTCGACAGCAAGCAACACTAATTGGTTGGACACTCACTCCGACCCAAGCTGGCATCGAATTCATGACACTCAGATGTAAGCTCACAGCAGCCGCTCCCAATAACGACACAGGACGCCAATCCGTAATCAATCAGGAACTTTTACTGCTGGACATTCATACATGAAGAAAGCCAGGATTGGCCGGCAGCCGCGGTTCAACCCTTATATACCCTCCCTCACAATTGAATTCCTCCTTCCCGCCAACCGAGAATCCCGCGCAATGTTCCCCGCCAAATGCCAACTGCTTCCCCCCAAGGCCACCAGCTGCACATCCTTATCAGCATCCCATGTCAGGATCCTGGTTTTTTGCGCCAAGATTCAAGGCCTGGAAACCGGTTCCTGACACTCAGAGGCTATTTAACATTCCAGCTTTTGGCCACCAGGAGAGCTGTCGCTTCACTGTCCGTTTGTGACACTGATGAAGTACTTTCCTCATTCTTTGCATACTTCCTGGAGATTTTTTATGGCCTCGTAAATTAGTTAAATTTGCCTCCCCACATAAGTGGTACCTAAATTTCCTACTTGACAGATGCAACTGTTGTTCGGGTTGCAAAGGTCGACAACAAGCTACACTCCGACCCGGGCTGGCTTCGAACTCATGACCTTTCGGTCAGTAGTGATCTTAATGCAGCTGACTCCCAGCCAGCTGCGCCACAGTCCCAGTTTATAACCATTGACTATGGGCACATCTACACTGACATTCAGAGCTGATTCGCGTCAAGGCAGCCTTGAACCATGTTAACTTAAATTGCAGGTTGCTCTTAATTCTCCCCAAGAATTTGGAGCAAATCCTGACTTTGGGTGTGCAAGCAAGTGGGCCAGTTCTAAGACAATAATGACCACAACTGTTTACACAGCCATCTTGTATTCCCCAGATTTGGGTGTCTCAGGGACATAAGATGACATTTTCTGCTCCCCTCCTGTTCTTGTCACAGTGGCCAGTGGGTGTGACATGACTCATGCTGTTGTTCATTGCCCGGAATGGCCCGGCTGAGGTTGTTTCAAGTGACAGTGACAGACACTACGTTGTGTCCATTGGCCACTGCAATGATGAGAGGAGGAGGGTGACAGCAAGGGTGGCCATCTGGCATGCCACTCCCTCTCCCTCTCCCTCATGCCATTCAAGACTCCCTCTCGCCAGCAATTGGGGTCTGGCAATACAAACTAACCCCGGGGCCAAACAGTCATTCACCTCTCCGTATTGGCCCCCGGATAAAGGATCCATGTTGAGCCCTCCAATGTTGACGCTTATTGGTTACTTCTTCTAACTTCACTGGCTTTGAGCTATATGACTGAATGATTGTGCTATCTATCTATATCTATACAGGCTCTTCCTGAGTTACAAACATCCAACTTACATATGACTCCTAATTACAAACAGGAGTGAGATAACAGTAAGTGTGAGGAAATGTACCCCTCAGACATGAAATCCACTTCTGTAAGAATTATCATGGGGGTGAAGCGTCTCCACTGAAGCTTAATCACTAATCCCAGACAATCCAAAATTTCAAAATCCAGCTGTCACAGAGACAGAAAAGTGTGGTGAAATCTTCTGAACAGGGGCACAGACAGCAAAACAAGCATTATGGGGGATGTTATTGAAAGGTTTTTAAATGGCTGGAGTTACACTTGTTTCAACTGACATACAAATTCAACTTAAGAACAAACTTACAGAACCTATCTTGTTTGTAGCTCAGGGACTGCCTGTAGATAGATAAATGTTAGTAGCAGATACATGAGTTAAACACACACACACACATTGTTCTCTTTCTCCAATACTTCTCCAATTGGGGTTCTTCTTTTCTCAAGCCCATGAACACAACTCTTCTCCTTTTAAGTGAGAAGAAAGGCCTGTGCTGTCACATTCACACCAGTTAGTCTTTAGCATAAATGTTCTTTGATGGACAGCCCAGATCCCATCGGTGGCTCACTGAAGAATCCCAACAGTCATACTTCAGATCCCAACAGTCATACTCATGAATAGATCTCGTTGATATGAACTCTTGGGGATTAGAAGGTTGACGTTCCATCTAATCTCTGACAAAGTTCAATCTTTTATTAATTATTGGAATAAAGACAACTGAATTGAAGTGATTAGTTTAGATACTCTGAATATCAAATAATGAACTTTGTTCTGATGCTTGATATTATGAGGGTTGAATGAAAAGTAATGCCTCCACCTTTGTAACTCCTCAACAGATGGCAGTACTGGTATGTGGCAAGTACTGGCTTGTTCAGTAGACTCTCCTCTACAGTTCCATTTTGGTGGGAAGCCTTAGCATTGAACGGTTGTGTTGTTAAAATGTGAAGTATGGAACCCTGCGCAGACGGTCAGTGAATGCAACTTAAGCAACATGCAGTCATTGAATTCTTGACAGCAGAAGGTGTCACCTCAAAGGAGATTCACCAGAGAATGCAAACCACTTATGGTGATTGTGTTGATGTGTGAACTGTGCGTCATTGAGTGAGTAAGTTTAAAGATGTCGATGTGGGAACATCTGACTTGCATGACAAAGTGTTGGATGTCCTGTGACAGCAACCACCGAGTTTCACAAGCAAAATGTTGACAGATTGATTCAGGACAATCGTCGTATCACTCAGAGAGAAATTTCAAGCATAATCAGCATTTCACAAGAACGTGTGAGTCACATTATTGCTTTGCTTTCTATCGGAAGATCAACGCACGATGGGTTGTGGAAACAGAGTGTCGACTTCTTCCATGATATGTTCAGAAAACTTGTTCATCGTTGGCAGAAATGTATCCAATTGTCTGGTGATTATGAATAGTGGTAGTTAAAGAGCACATTCTAAGGATTATTTATGCGTTTGATTTTTTAAAATATTTCCATCCAAACCCAAGTAACGAAGGTGGAGGCATTACTTTTCATTCAACCCTCGTAGCATATTATGAATGTGTGTTTAATGAAATATAGCATGAAGGAATGTTTCAAGGATTTCTATCTATATGACAGGTTGTATAAGGAAACAAAGTATGGAAAAAAGTAAAAGATTTTATAACTATAACATTTTAAGTTTGATGCATTGATCAAGAAAAAAATCTTCAAATAGTAAAACAAAATCTGTACATTGGATTAACTCATGAAACAAGAACTATGTCACTCTATGAAGTCAACGATGTCTCTGCCAAATAAGTGAAAATTAGCAATGATTGAATGTCTCTATCCAACACATTAAAGGCTTTGCTTATTTGATGATTTAGCTCTTGTCAGTTTTCAGAATTAGAAAAAGACTTTCCAGTTTAAAGTGTGAAGCTGGGGATTTCCTTGTTCTGGAGTGTAATTAAACAGAGAGCTGTGGGATTTCTGAAATTAAGCAACAGATTAGAGTTATGAATTTTGTAGTCCTAATTATTTTAATATTTTGATTCTTATAGCAAGGGAGGCTGAAGTACCAGCTGGAGTTGGAATAGTTTCCAGAAGTCTACCCGAGGCCTCTTCTGAAGTTCAAGAACAGGATGAGAAGGTGCCACCAATGACATTGCTTAATGCTGTATATAAAATTGAATGCAAAATACTCATGCTGATATTAACTTTTTGCATTTTTATGCATGAAGTTAATTCCCATAGAATTGGTGCGGCTTTACTCCTAATCTACTTTCCCTAGGTAAAGCTAAGTGGGAGTCACTTCTGGGTAAACACAGAATTACACTGAACAGCACCCAGTCAAGAATTCCAGTCCTGACAGAGGGTGACCTTGGGCTCTTGGAAATGAACACAGTCTTCTATGTTGACGTTGTTTATTTGTATTAGCTTGCCTTTTTCCGGTGGCACGAAGGAGTGTGAAATATGGGGTAGAAAATATATATATAGTGAGTAAAAATGAAATGCACAGATACAAGACAGGTGACGCCTGGCTCAACCAGAGTCCATGTGATAAATATCTTGGAGTCTTAGTAGACAACAAGTTGACCATGAGCCAACAATATGACGCAGCAGCTAAAAAGCCAATGGGATTTTGGGCTGCATCAAAAGGAATATAGTGTCTAGATCAGTGGTTCTCAACCTGGGGGTCGGGACCTCTAGAAGGGTCATGAGGGGATGTCAGAGGGATCGCCAAAAACCATTACACACAGTATTTTCTGTTGGTCATGGGAGTTCTATGTGGGAAGTTTGCCTTAATTCTATCGTTGGTGGGTTTCAGAATGCTCTTTGGTTGTAGGTGAACTATAAATCCCAGTAACTGCAACTTCCAAATGTCAAGGTCTATTTCCTCCAAACTCCATCCGTGTTCATATTTGGGCATATGGGGTATTTGTGCCAAGTTTGGTTCAGATCCATCATTGTTAGAGTCCACAGTGCTCTCTGGATGTAGGTGAACTACAACTCCCAAACTCAAGGTCTGTGACCATCAAAACCTTCCAATATTCTCTGTTTGTCATTGGAGTGCCAGGTTTGGTTCAATTCCATCATTGGTGGAGTTCAGAATGCTCTCTGGATGTAGGTGAACTACAACTCCAAAACTCAAGGTCAATGCCCACCAAACCCTTCCAGTATTTTCTGTTGGTCATGGGAGATCTGTGTGCCAAGTTTGGTTCAATTCCATCATTGGTAGAGTTCAGAATGCTCTTTGATTGTAGGTGAACTATAAATCCCAGCAACTACAACTCCCAAATGACAAAATCCAATCCTCCCATCCCAACCCCACTAGTATTCAGATGTGGGCGTATCGGGTATTTGTGCCAAATTTGGACCAGTGAATGAGAATACATCCTACATAACAGATATTTACATAACGATTCATAACAGGAGCAAAATTACAATTATGAAGTAGCAATAAAAATAATTTAATGGCTGGGGGTTGCCACAACATGAGGAACTGTATTAAGGGGTCGTGGCATTAGGAATGTTGAGAACCACTGTTCTAGATCAAGAGAAATCATTGTGCCCCTCTTTTCTGCTTTAGTCAGACCTCACCTGAAATAACACTGTATCCAATTCTGGGCACAGAATTGCCCTAATTAAAGAGAGATTTTGACTCTAAGCTGGAATATGTCCAGAGGAGGCGACCATAATGATCAAAAGTCTGGAGAACATCCCCTACGAGGAGCATCTTAAAGAGTTGGGTGTGCTTAGCCTGCAGAAGAGAAGGTGGAGAGGAGACATGATTTGTTGTTTATTCATTCTGTCCTTTCCGTGACTTCATGGACCAGCCCACACCAGAGCTTCCTGTTGACCGTGGCCACCCCCAGCTCCTTCAGAGTCAGGCCAGTCACTTCAAGGATACCATCCATCCATCTTGCCCTTGGTCGACCCCTCTTCCTTTTCCCTTCCATTTTCCCCAGCATTACTGTCTTCTCCAAACGTTCCCGTCTTCTCATTATGTGTCCAAAGTACTTCATCTTTGCCTCTAATATCCTTCCCTTCAATGAGCAACCGGGCTTTATTTCCTGGAGTATGGATTGGTTTGATCTTCTTGTGGTCCAAGGCACTCTCAGAAGTTTCCTCCATCACTACAGTTCAAAAGCGTCTATCTTCCTTCGCTCAGCCTTCCTTATGGCCCAGCTCTTGCAGGAGACATGATAGCCATGTTTAAATACTTATTTATTTTATTTATTTCAAAGTTTTCTATACCGACCTTCTCACCTCATTGAGGGACTCAGCCCGGTTTCCAACCATAAAAACACATACAATCAGTAAAATATCATAGTTCACAATTAGAGTAACACATTTAAAATAACAATATATTTAAAACTACGGTGGTCAGTCGTCATATTAAAATCAAATATACATCATCTTCCATCCAAAATCCTAGGGTGTTGTCTCATTCATCGAAAGCCTGTCTCCACAACCACGTCTTTACCCATTTCCTAAATGTCAGGATAGACGGGGTGGTTCTGACCTCCGGTGGGAGAGAGTTCCAGAGTCACAGGGCCACCACCAAGAAGGCCCTGTCCCTCGTCCCCACCAGGCGCGCCTGTGCGGCCGGTGGGACCGAGAGCAGGGCCTCTCCAGACAATCTTAATAATCTTGATGGTTCGTAAGGGAGAATACGTTCGGAGAGGTAAACAGGGCCGGAGTCGTTTAGGGCTTTATAGGTTAACACCAGCACTTGAAAGGATAAGGAAGAGGGAGAAGGCTTGTTTTCCACTGCCCTGGAGACTAGAACTCAATGGAGCAATGGGTTCAAATGACAGGAAAGGAGATTCAACCTAAACATTAGGAAGAACTTCCTGACTGTAAGAGTTGTTCAACAGTGGAACTCTTTGCCTTGGAGTGTGATGGAAGCTCCTTCTTTGGAGGCTTTTAAGCAGAGGCTGTCGGAGGTGCTTTGATTGTGATTGTCCTACAAGGCAGGGGGTTGGACTGGATGGTCCTAGTGGTCTCTTCCAGCTCTATGATTCTATGAAATGGCTATGCGTACAAGCTCATTCCTTGAATGCCCTTTGGGCACTTAACTGGGAGAAGCAATGCTAGCCACTCAGGTAGCAGCTGCAAGGAGACAGCAAGCATTGTGTTGGGGAAAAGATATGTTTTCCTTTTTCCTTCCAAGCCCATCTGCTATTTTCAAGTGTAATGGGGGAGGAGGGGAGGCTATCCCACTGCCAGTGTTAAACATAATTGCCACCCCAGTCTGCTTGTGTACAAGGAAAAGAAGAGAATGCCGTCTTATCTTTCCATTCAAGCAACCTAGCATCTTAGTTAGTTAATCATGGAGATGGAAGATAGAGAAAGAGAGAAAGAAGAAAAAAGTACATTTTTTTCCTCTACAGTTCAGTTGTCCCCCCCCCCCCAATCCCCGTCCCCCCCACCATCATATGCCTGCAGAGGAACAAATGCCTACTTTTCATATCTACAGATGTTAAAGTGCTTCCTTGTATAAATTTGATGTATCTCTGCAGCTGTGCTGGAGCTTCCCTCTGAGCACTGCTTTTTCATCCCGGTATGAGGGAGAGCACTTTTTGTTAGCTCCTGCTGCCAGAGATGTAGAGAGACACTCAAGCAGCATGCTGTAGTCAGCCGTGATGTAGGCATGTTAATATCATACCCTTCCCTTGTGGCTGTTCATTACATCATGGGCTGTGGAAAGGGAAACCACACTGCTTCCACCGCAAAGACCACAGGAACATTTTAGATTGCAAGAGGGCTCAGGAAGTTTCCTTGTTGCATTCAGTCCAATGATGCGTCTGTTCCTCTCTGTGTTCAAGCCTGCAAAAAACAATGCATGCAAACATACCTACAGTGAATGCATTGGCCCTATTAGACCCCACATTATCATCAATATGCCTCCTGCCTCAATTCCTGGAACAGTTTCGCTATTGTGGTGTTTCTTTTTATTTAAATGGAGGTAAAAGAAATGAGATGCTTAAGGAATAAGTATAAGTGCAAAAATAAATATATGCCAAGATAGGCATCTTGCCAAAAGCATTTGAAAAAGATGCAGTCTATATCACTGCTTCTTAAACTGTGAGTCCTGGCCCAAAATGAGGTCTCCTTACCTCAATCGTGGATTGCCCCCAAAATTGGCAACAGGAAATGTTTTCTGAATGCTACCTATTTATTTATTTATTTATTTAGAAGTTTTATATCCCGTTCTTCTCACCTCTGTGGAGGAACTCAGAATGGCTAACAGCAAGAATTCAATGCAACAATAAATAACATTTAAACAACATCCATAAAACAATAGGTTAAAATGCATAAAAATTACAATACATATAAAACCATTTGCCAAGTTAGAAACATTGTCCAACTCAGTCCACACATTGTGGCCAATAACTTTAGTATTTACTGGTCTCCGTTGCCACTCTGCAAATGTCTGATTCCACAGCCAGGATTTCACTTGCTTCTAAAGGTCAGGAGGGAGGGCGCAGACCTGACTTCATTCAGGAGAGAGTTCCGTAGCGGGGGGGGGGGGGGGCACCATGGAGAAGGCTCTGTCTCCCATTCCCAGATGCTGATTGCTAGGGTTTTTCCTGCCTAAGGTAAAGGTTTTCCCCTGACATTAAGTCCAGTCATGTCTGACTCTGGGGTGTAGTGCTCATCTCCATTTCTATGTCAAAGAGCTGGTGTTGTCTGTAGACACCTCCAAGGTCATGTGGTCAGCATGACTGCATCGAGCGCCATTACCTTCCCACTGGAGCGGTACCTATTGATCTACTCACATTTGCATGTTTTTGAACTGCTAGATTGGCAGAAGCTGGGGCTGACAGCAGAAGCTCACACCACTCCCCAGATTCGAAACCTGCAACCTTTCAGTCAACAAGCTTAGCAGCTCAGTGGTTTAACCTACTGAGCCACCGGGGGCTCCCCTGCCTAGAAACTCCTAAAAGGACTTAGATGCATAGGGAAAATCAAGAGTTAGGCCTGCGTTGTCTAATTTTCAACCAGTCAAGTAATGATAGAGTGTGCAGCAGTGTTGCTGTTCTTCAAGGACTATGTCATTCTTTTCCATTAAATACTAGGAAAAAAAGAATTAAAAATAGACACACAGACTGAGGAAGTAGTTAAGATGCTATAAAGTAAAGG